AAAACCATTATACCCTGATTTCCCATTTTCAATGGGTTCAGGGTATAAAAACAACAAAAGAGGAAAAGAAACAACAAAAACTTACAAAACGACATGCGCATTTTTTTCCATATAATTTTCACAATTTTCTTGTTTTCCTTTTCATGAGAAGCAAAAATCAAGCTACCCTTAAAAACAGCAAAGAAGAAGCAGAAGAAGAAACACAATAAATTTTGTAAATTTTAAATTTACGTAAAACAAAAACAAAATATATGATAAAGCAAATAAAATATATATATAAATAAATATATATATATATATTATGTAAAACACAAAATATAGCAAAATAAATGCAAATTGCACTAAATTATTATTTACATTTAATAAAAAATAATATATATATAAATATATATATAGTTTAAGCATTATGCCGATTATTAACATATAAAGGAAAAGAAAATTGAATAACAGTACTTTAAATTTCGCATTACAAATAGCATAATTTTTTTTTGTGAATTAAAATATTAATATTAAAAAAAAAAAACAAAAACAAAAACAAGCAAATAAATTTAATTAAAATAAAACGTAGACAAGCGCATATCGTACTAAAGAAATTTCACAAATTCAAGCGTAAAAATTAATATTAAAATAAATAAATAAATATATATACGTATATACATATATATATAAGTGAGCCAATTTTTTTTGCCTACAACATAAGTTAAAATCGTAAATCGTAAAGAAACACACTGTTTTCCTATACATAAAAAAAAAATTAAATTTTAAATATTAAAATACACACATTTTTTTCACTAGGTTAAAGCTTACAAGAAAATAAAACATTTCTAAATGGCATAAGGCCAAAAAAAAAAAAAAAAAAAAAAAAAACCAAAAAAAACAAATACAAATAAAACGCAAAGAAGAAGAAAACACCCACACCCACTATCACAAAAATCACAATCACAAACACACACATACAAAAACCTTTTTTGCATAGGCCCAAAATTTGCCGCGTTATTATTATTATTATTATTATTATTATTATAATACAAATATGAAAAGAAATTAAATTAAAAATAAAATTAAAATAAAAACATATACCAAACACATTTCAATAAATATAAAAATACAATTTGCGTCTTCAAATTAAAAACAAACAAAAATTATATTACGAAAAATACAAAAAAAAAAATAACAAAAAAATTTAGAAAAGAAAGCAAAAAAAAAAGAAAGATTTTTTCAAAGAAAACAAAAACTGCAATTTGTTGAGAAATGATTTAAGTTTTAATTTAATACTATATAAATACATATAATATATATATAATTTTTTTTTTTTTTTATTTCGAAATGTATTTAGTTTTTAAAGTTAACCATGTTAAATACTTTGCATTTTCATACGCTTTAGCTAAAATAATAATTACAAAATATAATTAAATAAATATTTATGCAACATATTTACATACAAAACAAAAATTATATATATACATATATATATGTATGTATATATATATATATATATACAATATATACAAAATATGAAGTAAAGAGAATATGCTTAAGTTGAACGAAGGAGAAGAAAGGAAGGAAAGCGAGGAAGAGAGAGAGCCGAACACACGATGAAGATTTAGTTCTAATTATTTTTTAGATCGACTTTTTTTTTGTATTGTAATAATTATGATCAATTTTTTTTATTATTATTATGATGATGATTATTATTATTATTATTATTACTATTATTATTATTATTGTAATAACGATAAAAACAAACAAAACATACCAATAATACATGAACATAAATGAAACTTTATCAAATAAAAATGTTTTCTTAAACGAAAAAAAAAAAAAACAACAACCCCATCGAAATTCCTTTATTTTCATTTTGCCACCATTCCACACAAGCACACACACGACAGGTATACACATACACATGTATGTATGCGAATGTATGTCTGTCTTTTATATACATACATATATATATATATATATATAGGGCCTTATAATTTGCTCTGATGTGCCCAGCTGCCCTCCCGCTACGAGGCGCAAGTACGCAATGTATGCAAATGATATGCTACCGAGGAACTACAGTACTCGCTAACTAAGTTAACTCACCCAACACACATGCCTACCGAACACACACACACACCCACACACACGCGCACACACAGAGGCCCATATACACACATGATGCGCTATACGACGAATGGGCCAGAGAGAATCCCCAGCGTATGAATATGGCATATATATGAATCTATATCTATATACATACATACATACATACATATATGCATGCATGATCTATAATTTTATATACAGACACACACACACACAAACACCACAGCACATCGAATATATAGAGTTAAAGACGAGTATATATTAACAAAAGGAAAAAAAAGCGGTGCTAGCTAAGTTTACGCAAACACAGCTAAAAACAGTTACAACAGATATCAGCTAATAGATATGCAGTTATACAGATATATATATACATATATAGTATATAGTACAGCTATAGCGATCTATAGTGTGAGTAGCCAGTGAAATTTTTTGCATAGATTCAGTAGCGTTGATATATAAATATATATATATATATATGAATATATATATATATATATATAGGAATACTTAGAGCTAAAGCAAGCATACACACATACATATATAACAAGAGAACTCGAAAAACGTAATCGAAACGCAAAAAAAAAAAAGATATTGAACAAAGAATCGAAAAACGAATATGCAAAAATATTTCAAAATAATACGTAATTAATTTTAAATTGCAAAACGAGTAATACAAAAAAAAAAAAAGCAAATCAAAATATATTTAAATATGTATGCATATATACATACATGGATATCTATCAATATCGATAACTGTAAATAATGAAATGTATTTAGCGTAGCGAAACAGAAATCAAATACAAATTGCATAAGAAATTATCCTTCCAATTCAATACGAAAATCAGATGGAATACAAAGACATTTGCCAATCTATATATAAATAACAAAATTAAAAACAAAATTTAAAAAAAAAAAAAAAAACAACATAAATAGACACAATTTTTTTTTTATGTCAAATATCAAATTAGTAGCCGATTGCAATTTATATGTACATACATATATGTGTATTGGTATATGCATATATGTATAGCAAAGAATTTAAGCCCACAGTGATATAAAGTCTTATACCTACACACACACACTCACACACACACACACGCACATAGCAAACCAGTCAAAAAATAAATAGAAAAGATATTCAAGTTTTTTGTTTAGATTTGTTTTTTTTTTTTTCTCTTCCTTTGTGATGAAGATTGAAAGAAAATGTACATAAAATAGTGAAAGAAGAAGATGAACCGACAGTAAAATATATATACATATATATATATAAGAGTTCACATCTTTAAAACAGACCATATCAGCATTATATATATATGTGTATATATATACATACATATATAATGGTATTTGTGTAGTTATATACAGACACACAAGCATTCATATAGTATATACAAATATACATCTATATTGCACACACACAAACACACACACACATACACACACACAGCAGGCAGACAAGCAAGTCTGAGTCTTAAGCAACATATTCAATTGAACCACAAGCTATAGTTCACACATACACACATAGGCACACACACACTTGTACACACATACATACAAGAAAAAACAATTCCTCAGTTTTCAGATCTTTCAGATGCAACAAAAGCTCATAAGCAAACCAAAACCGTTTTCAGTTTCAAATCCGCCCAGCAATAAAAATAAATGACAAAAATTTAACCAGAAGTAAAAAAAAAATAATAATATGAGAAATACAATTATTAAGCAAATGTGCCCAATTAAAAAAAAAAAAAAAAAGGAAAAAAAATAAAGCAAAAATCATTTCAAATTTCAAACATTAATAAAGCAGCAAAAATATCAAAAGAAAAATAAAACAAAACAAAATCTTTTAGAAATATATACATACATATACATACATATATATGTATATATATATACATAACTGAATAACAGATAAAAGAATATTAACTTAGTGGCCTAAAATTTAAGCACTCGACACTTTTGGCAAAGCATTCGAAATTCGATAACAACAATTTTAAATTTAAGCAATTAAATATATTAAACAAAATACAAGAGCGAAAAAAATATTTAAAAATAAATCAAATAAAAACAATTTCATTACGTAATTAATTGAAGCGACAATTTTTTTTAGCATTTCTTGTAAAGATTGTTGCAAGTAAACACAAAAAAAAAAAAAATAAATAAAAATAAAGCAGAAACTTAAATTAAAAACAATTTTTTTTTGTTAACTTAAGAACCTGTTTTTTATATATATATATATATAAATAAATAATAATAAACAAAATAAAGCACACATATACATATATATGTCTACACATTGTGTTAATTTGTAAATTAACATTTTCATTCAAAAAAAAATAAATAAATAAAATATATATACAAAAAAATGCAGAATGCAATTTTTTAAGAGTTTGCGCTAAAATGCATTGGCATTTATTAAAGCAAAGTAATAATAATAATTATGATAATAATAACAAACAACAACATGAGTAATAATAAATGAAAACGAACAAGAAATAATGCAAATACTTCAGTATAATATATTTAAATAAAATATTTAAATAATATACAAATAATAAATAGTTTATATAGCATGTAAAAGTGAACAGAGAAATCAAATTCAATAAAGACGAATATACTGTATTCAAAACAATGCTGCGTATTTCATTTACTCCTCAGAACCCAAAATTAACATAGAAAATTTTCGAACAGAGTGAAATTATTCATTCTTTAACTTTCAGATTTTAGATAAAACTAAAATTTATGAAATATGTGGGGATACAAATACTCAAAAGTGAACTAGAAGCGCAAAAGCGAATCATAGATCTTTATTTGAAGCTTCATTTATTTAACAACAAAATTGGCTCATTCTAGTTATTAGATAATATTAAAAAAAGAATTATCAAAAGTTGTCTTTAAACGCCTCTGAGGCCAATTTGCATGCTCACCTCATAATGAACTGTCGATCACGCCCAGCAGCTTAGACTCCATTACGCCTACTAGCAAAGCTTTATAGACTTAAAGAAAACAAACCATAAGAGAGAAAGCTTTCAACAGCTTTTCATTCGGTGTAATGGGTGGATGACTATTTCCAGCTTAGGGGTTGCTACTGAACTAGCGCCATCTATGGCCTGATAGTGTGCGCTGCGCAAGCGAAACGCCACCTAGCGTTGGTGGTTCCAACTGGGCATTATTGTCAAATAGATTAGCTGAAAAATCAATCACGTGTCCATAAACCAATTTTACAACCAATCTCTCGATATTTATAGACGAGGGCTGTCTGTGGAGTTGTTGCATTAATATATATATTTATATATCTATTAAGTCGTATACAATTATTTAACATTAGATCCATTAAAAATGGAAAATCAAGCTATATGGTCATGGGCAAATGTAGAAAGAGACTTGCTATAATGTTTATTTAATATATATATATTTTATATATTTTGATTTGAATATATGTATATATCTGCTCCAACTGGGGCTTTAAGCAATATTGTTTTTGTTTTCAGTTCTTCAACAATTTTCAAATTTAGAATAGAAAAATCGCAGTGATTAAATTTTTTTGCTTATAAATTTAAAATTCCGTTTTTGGCACTTCAACTATCTATATTATTAATTATAAAAAAATATATTTGGATTTTTAGCACAACTAATTAATAACTTTATGTCCATGCCGTTTCTCCTCAATTCAAGTGAAAACGAGTGGAAATATTCTACATACCTTAAGCAGTGCTTAGACTCTTTTTTTTAGCACAGATCTCTCCCCCCTCCCATCCTTGCCCCTTCATTAAATATAAATAGAAACAATTGCGAATTTGGACAATATCGATAAATAGGACATTCTCAGCATTTATTTTTGCACTCTAGTCGGTGACATTTTTTTTTTTTATTTTGTAATTTGTTCAGTTTTGCTTTTATTTAGTGTAGGTTTTAATGCTATTCATATATGTATATACATATCTATATACATGCATATATGTACGTACCGTATCGCATATATACATGATGCCATTCCAAATACACTTTCCTCGCTTCAATCATCGAAACTGCAAATCAGTCCAAAAACAACAAACTCTTGCTTCAACTTTTGCTTTTATTCATATGTACTCATTATTCATTATTCATTATTCATTCATTATTCGTTATAGTTAGTATGACTATTATTAGTTGTACCCAGCGACAAACAAAAGTCGAAAAGTTATTATTTAATGTGATTTTTTTTTTTTTGTATTTTTGCTTTTTGCATTTTGCATTTTGTTGTTGCTCTTCGAAAAAGTAGAAAAATATTGCTCTAAAAAATACAGGGCAACTCTTTTCGTTCATCGAGAATATATTAATATGCATAAGCATATATATATATATATATATATATATATGTATATACTTTTGATACTTATAATTCATAGTTGTTTTGCGTGTTTGTTTGTTGTTTGTTTTCTTTGTTTTTTTTTTTTTTTTTTTTTTTTTTTTTGGTACAGGCTTAGACATAAAAAACAGGCGCTAGTTGAAACCTTGGAGGGCAACAGATTTACAATTGTTATGGCACACACACACATACATGCATGCACGTGTGTGTGTATGTAATATATATATATATATAGATATCATATTCTTTGCATATATATATATAGTATGTATTATACGGTTTCTCTGATCTACATAGTTAATAGTGGGACAGGCAGGCTTTCAGGCAGGGAAATTTGTGCCTCTGTGTGTGTGTGTGTGCGTGTGTGTGAGTGTGTCTGCATGTGTGTGTGTTTCCCTGTTCAGACTTCAGGCCTTCAATGCCTTTATAATTATTGTAAGATATATATTTGTTTTTGTTTGCTCTCATTTATTTGATACCCTGTAAATGTGTTTGGTTTGAGTGTGTCGCATCGGCTTGTCGAGGCATAACAGCAACTAACGTTAGCTTTAAGCTTAACACTTTAACAAAAATAACGGCTCTTTAAGCACCGAGTAAAGCTTCAGCAAACCATACAAAACTCCATACACTACATGAATATATCTAATACATATAGATTTCGGAAAGCTGATATATCCTATAGAGTTAAACAATCAAATTATAGACAGCATATAGAACATGGCAAACCGGGGAAACATCTGATATTTTAGAGGCACTTTCAAGTATTTCATTTTAACATTGGCCGACTACAAAATCAATCGAGTACAACAATTCTTCAAAATGATATTTATATATATACGTCATATCTATATAAATATTATTGCATTTGGCTTTATATCGAACTTCAAGCGGCGCCGAAGTTCTCTCTAACACAATATTGGATATTCTAGCTATAGATAAAGCTAAACCCAAAGGAAACCAAAAGAAAATATAGATATATATATTTATAAGAAAAGTAAAACATAGAGTTGAAATGAAATCACATATTGTGTGTATTTGGTACGCAAACAAATCATAATCATAATGATAACCATAATCATAATCATTTATATTTAAGTATAGCTTTAATAATAATCATAGTATGATAATTTTCTTAAATTTTGTAATAGCGAAAAAAAAAAGAAACATTAACAAAGTGTTTTCTGATCAAGATAAACAATGATATTTCATATTAGTTCGTACGTCATTATATATAATAGGTAATTTTATACATATGTATGTATGTATATGTAAGAGGTAATAGAGGAGAGGTGTGTGTGTCTGTGTGTAGTGTTAGTGTGTGAGTGTGTATAGGTCTAGGGTATAGGAAGTGGGACACTTTATAAGACAAGTCTCTTGCATTTGCTCAGTTACAAAGTTTCATGTATATTGACTATAACAACAATCAAATATATATATGCATATGCATAAATATACTTGTGTGTATGTGTGTGTGTGTATCTGCAATCTATATATATAGAACTTTTTAATAGCTTTGCAGCGACAACTCGAGTCGAGGCGATTGTCTGCGTGCATTCTCTTTGCAATTCTGCAAATACAAATAATATATACATACATATTCATATGTATATATATATATAAACAAAACTATTCAATTTAATTAGAAATTTAACTGGTAATAAGTGTTTCACATTTCTGTTGCTTGTTCTCAATGATTTAATTTAAATTTATATCTTATATCTTTTTGCTAGAAAGGTACTTGAAGTGTAGACACTCAGGAGTGGGGGCAGGGGCAGGGGCAGGGGCGGGGTCCCGGGGGCGTGACATTAACTATATATAGTGTATTTGTAAATAAATTGCAGCGTAACTCGCAAAGCGTTTCGTATTTACATTTCAATTTAACTAAAGTTTCTCTCTCTTTCTCTCTCTTTCGCTCTCTCTTTCTCTCTCTCTTTAGCCAACCATCAACGTTTAACAATTCTTTTCTCTTTTTTTGTGAGTTGACAAAGGACAAAAAATAAACGTATTTTAAAATTAAGAACAAATTTACAGTAAAATAAAACTAAGAAAAAAAAACCTCAAGTCCAATAAACAAAAAAAAAAAAACTGTTAACAAGATTTGCACAAATTTGTAACTACAATATAGTTTAATGCCTAAAAGCTAATTGTTGTTTTCTTTTCATTTGTTGTTGTTTCGTTTTATATTGTTTTTTTCGCTTACGGTACTAAAAGTATCTTTGATTTAACATTTACTTGAGTGTCGCATGTTGTGTTATACTTATATATGTATACATATAGATTGAAACATATGCACATACATATACATATATATATTTAGGGTATGCGGATTGCTATGCTACGCTTTATTGGCCCGTGTTTTGTTAATTGTTTTTTGCTTTTGTTTTTGTTTTTGTTTTTGGTTGATTTTGTTAGCACTTAAGTTAATCAAGTATAACATATGATAATTGTAATAATAGTAATAGAATAATAATAATTGTTGTAATCATAATAGTTATAATAATAGTAATAATAATAATATATGTATATCGTAAGTAGTATATAACATGTAGCGATATTTAAACAATTACATATTTCTTGTTTTCTTTCACTTTTATCTCTCTTCTAAGGACTCAATTATAAGGCGCTAAATGTTCTTGTTGTTGTTGTTGTTGTTGTTTTTGTTTTTTGTTGTATAGTACTAAACATATATAAATATGCATGTGTATATATAGTTGGGTGTGTATATATATATATATATATATAAATATGTGTGTGTTACATATATGTTGTTGTTGTTGTTGTTGCTGCTGCTGTTGTTTTACTCACACAGCAAGCAAACAAATAAAAAGTACTTTGATAACGCAATCGTTTGCTATTTCTTCTTCTTTAACTTTTTCGTTTTTTTTTTTTTTTTTTTACATATATTCATTTTGCTTTGTTTTTCAATTTTTTCAGTTTTTGTTGTTTTTGTTTATATTTTTGCCTTGCGCTTGTCTTGTTAAGTTTCTTGTACACGTGTAAACAATTACATTTAAAAACAATCGTGCCCAGCTAGCACCTTAGGACATTTCATTTTGTGTTTTAGTTGTTTTGATTGGATTGGTTTTGTTGTTGTTGTTGTTGTTTCTCCATTAAAGCCAGTTAAAAATTGTTATTAAAAATGTTTCATAAAATTTATATAGATATATAATATATATATATATGTCTGTATATATATGCACAAGTCGTAAATTAAAAGCTAACAAAGAAAATTGCAACTATTAAAATATTATATAATGGCCAACAATCAAGTCGAATATAAAAAAAAAAAAAAAATTAACGTCTAAAATTAAGCTACTAAAAAAATGGGATTTTGCTTTTAAAAAAATAATAAAAATTATATTAAATAATATACAAATCGTATATAATAAATCAAGAAAAAGTGGATCATCGATAACAAAAAAATATATATAATAAAAATAATAATAATAATAATAATAATAAACACAGAGAATGGGTAAATAATATATAGTTGAAATTGGATTGGAACCAAAACATTTGACTAAATGCTACGCATTGTACAGAAATCGCTTTAGAAAGAGACAACAAATGGTACGAGCAGCATGGTGAGGGTACTAGTTTGTGTGTGTGTGTGCCAGTTCAGCAGACAGAGAGAGAACACAACTATATATATATATATATGTGCCTCTAGTGCCTGCCGCCAGCTTTGCGCCATATTCACCGCATCCAGTTGGACTTCCGCTTGCTCTTGGTGCGCACACCACGCAACGGCTTGGCTTTGCTCTTGGCTGGCACGGTGTTGACCATGGCGGCGCTTATCGACAGCATGGACGGCCCATTACCGGGCGCAGCACCTCCGCCACTCCAGTACAAATTGGAGGAGGCATTGCTGCCCGTCACCACGTTAGCACTGTACAGCTCATCGTAGAGCGGCCTTTGCTGCTGCTGTAGTTGTTGTTGCTGTAGTTGCTGCTGCTGCTGCTGCTGCTGCTGTTGGGCAAGTGCGCCGGCAGCAGCCACATTGGCCGCAGCGCTGCTTAGCAAAGCCATTTTGCTGCCGCTGCCATTCGTATAGACGGCATTGGTCTGGAGCGAGTGCTGCTGCTGCTGCTGCTGCTGTTGATATTGCAGGTCGAGATGCTGCCATTTCTCCTCCTCGATGCTGCGACTGGAGGCACGCTTGTGCGGCGAGCCGTGGCTGCTGCCGCTGCTGCCGTTGCTGTGATAGTGGCTTGTCGTTGTCGACGAGCCGCACTCCACGATCGAAGAGCGCGACAGCGAGAGCAGAGCGTCGACGCCGTCACGATGACGCTGCTGATCGGCCAGCTCCTCGGCCGTGATATTGTGACTGAGCAAAGTTAATGCAAGAGAGTAGAGAAACGTTAAGCTTATATTCATACACTAAATGCCAATCGACTCTTACTTCTCCTCGCTGCTGTCGTAGGCCGCATCAGAGCTGGCGCAATTGCTGTCGCCGCCATGGCCAACACCCGGCTGCATCTGCTGTGCATTGGGACCGTTGCCCGTGCCATTGATCAGGGGCGTCGAAGCGCCGCTATCCGCATTGCTGTTGCCGCCCGCCGAATAGGTGTGATCCTCGCTGGGAGAACTAGTTATCACTGGAGCGCTACAAAGCAGAGAGAGAGAGAGAGAGAGAGAGAGAGAGAGACAGTAGAGAAATCCTCTGATTAGATTCATCTCCTATTATATTTGAATCGAACTCGTCTTACCCGTTCGGAAAGCTTTCGAGAAAGGCCTTCGAGCCGTGCTTAAGGAACAGCATCGCCGCTGCCGCATGGACATCATCGATGCTATCGGCGCCGCAGTCCCGTGCCAGCCGCTCGAAATTTAAGGCACAAACGGTACCAGCTCCAGCTACAGTTACAGCTACAGCTCCAGCTCCAGTTCCAGCTCCTGCTCCTGCTCCTGCTGCCACTGTCACATTAACAGTTCCATTCGCATAGTTGTACTTGTTGTTGTTGTTGTTGTTATTATTATTGTTGTTGTTGTTGTTGCAGCTGCTATTGGCCACATAGTCGCCCGGCAGCTCCTCATCGACAGCATCGGCCGGCATATATTGCGGCTCCTCGATATTCCGAAATGCCTTGGACAGATTAGGAAACAGCTTCGGATCGAAGCGAGGATGATTGCCGCCACCCGCTATAGCTGGCGTACCAGCCACGCCCCCATTGGACGTGACCGCATGGCCGGCAATGCCGTTCTTAACGGGCGTCACAGACGCCGCTGGCCCAGTCCCAGTGCCGTCCAAGCTATCGTAGCTAGCAATGCTGCCAGCACCATTCCCATTCCCATTGCCATTGCCATTGCTATTGCCATTACCGTTGCCAGAATTGGGACTCTTGAGCATGGGACTGATCTTGTCGACGGCCGAGTTGGGGAAGTAGGGCGAACGATTGAGGGCCTGCATGAGATTTGGTCGCTGCTGGGGCTCGACGCGCCACAGCGAGCCCTTGCCCATGTTGGGCGCCTTCTCCACCTTGACGAAACTCTTGTTCAGCGAGAGATTGTGACGGACGCTGTTCTTCCAGCCATTCGGCGCCGACTTGAAGTAGGGAAAATGCTGCACAATCCACGCATAAATCTCTTTAACGGGCAGAGCTTTCTCGTTCGAGTCCTCGATGGCCATGAAGATCAAGGAACTGCAAGAAGTGTGAGAGGGGGAGGGGGGAGGGGGGTTAGCAATCAAATTGAATTCGCTCAATCTTTGTTTTGTTTCCATTATCGATTTCATATCGATGCGGAACAACAATCTAACAATGTCCTTCACTTGATGAACTTGTTCAATTGAACAAGTTCCCGACTTTCAAACTTACCTAAAACTATATGGCGGCTTATTGTTGGTATGCACGTACGGATCATATGGCACATTGTTGGGATGCTTTTGCTTTTGGGGTGTGTTGTTGTTGTTGTTGTTGCTATTGCTATTGCTATTGTTGTTGTTGTTGCCAGGATTGGAGCTGCCATATGCGGATGAGTTGCTGTTGTTGTTGTTGTTGCTGTTGCTATTGTTATTATTATTGTTATTTTTGGACATTGATTGATATTGAGGCGTGCTCGTATGGAGTCGCGCCCCGCTGCCAAGGCCGATGTCGAACTCCTTGAGCGAATCCTCGTTCTCGTAGCTGGCATAGCTGTTGGGGCTGCGCAGATTGGCAATGCCGGAAGCGGAGCCAGCCGAAACGGAACCGGAACCGGAACCGGAACCAGGCCCGGAACCAGAACCATTGTGCACCGCCGTCGGCGTCATCGATGGCGGCGGTGGCGTCACCGACAACTGCAACACACCCGTACGCGGCTGCACCGCACTGTAGTAGGTCCCAGGTGGCAACAGCGCCGCACCTGGCGGCGTCTCCGGTGAGGAAATATTGGCGGGTTGTTGTGAGCTGCAGCAAAAGAGCGAGAAAGTCGAGAGTTCAATAATCATAATGAACCAATTCTAATGTAAATCATAAGAGAAGGACAGAGAAAGAGATAGAGAGGGGGGGGGGGGGGAGTAGGGAGAGGGGAAGACAAGAGTTAGTGAACGGGAATGCCACATCATCTATTCAGCCTAATTTCCAACGGTTTGGAATGTAAGCCGGTGAGTAATCGTAATATAAACCGTTCTCTTTCGTTTCTTTCTCTCCTTTCTCTTCTCTTTGAATGAGAGACGATCTGAACTGAAGACAATCGTCGCGATGCGAATCGCGGAGCAAGTAAAAGTGTCTGAAGGAGTGAGGGAGACAGAAAAGCACTCTTATGAAATAACCCTTAAGAAAAATAGAATTTAAAATGAGCTGTAGGTCCGTCTACCTCCGTGTCTCTCTCTACATTTATATCTCCATGTGTTTCTGCTTCGCTATATCTCCTCTGGAAGTTCTATCTCTCTATCTCCCTCATTGTCTCATTCTAATTATCTCCCTATCTATCTCTCCTTCTCTTTTTCTATCTCCCTCTCTACCTATTTACCTATTTACGTCTTTGCCTATCTCTCTTTCTTTCTCTATACCTACCTACCTCTTTTCCTCTCTCTTTCTTTCTCTCTCTCATACTCTCTATCTGCCTCTCTCTCTCTCTCTCTATCGCTGTCTCCCTCTCTCTCTCTCTACCTCTATCTCCCTCAATCTCTCTATCGCTATCTTCATCTCATTCTCCACTCTCTGCCTCACTCTCTTCCTCTCTCTTTCTTTCTAATTCACTATCTCACTCGCTCTATAGCTTTCTCTCTCTGTTTCTCTAGATCTATCTCCTTCTCTTGTTTCACCTGTATACCTCTATCACTATCTCTACTTCTGTCTTCTCAACCACTCTCTCTTCTACTCCTCTATATATACAACACTCTCTCCCTCTCTCTCTCTCTCTCTCTTTCTCTCCCCCAGCCATAATTTACATCTATCACTTACATAACATGTGGAGCGGTAACAAAACTGTAGCCAGGCGGCAACGTTGTGGTGCTAACCACCGTTGGTGGTGTTGTGTGTTGTTGCTGTTGCTGTTGTTGTTGTTCGCTGGTGTTGTTGCTGTTGCTATTGTTGGTGACGGTGGCTGTGGCGGTGGTGATGGTATTACAGTTGTTATTGTTGTTGTTGTTGTTGTTGTTGCTGCTGCTGCTGCTATTGGGCGCTGAGTAGTTGACGGCATCGAATACTGCATTGAAGCTGTTCGACTTCGGCACTGGACTGTTGCCCCCATTGACGGCCGCCGTCGAGGAGCCCGAGGCGGAGCAGGAGCTGAGCGTCGAGTTGTTTGAGGAGGCGGGCGAGCTGACCACGGTAACCGTAGAAGCCACCACATGGCTGATATTGTTGTTGCTAACGACGGTGGTGCTAGTGGTGATGTTGCTGTTGTTGTTGTTGTTGCTATTGTGATCCACATGCACATTCATCTTCTCGCGCAGATATTTCTTGTGCGGATGATGCGTTGTGGTGTTGCCACTGGACTTGTAGCTAGCCGTCGGAGTCGTCCCATTGCTGCTGACAAAGATCTGCGGCTGCTGCTGCTGCTGCTGCTGCTGCTGTTTGACAGCGGCAACTGTTGCTGCCGGCATGAAGCTGTTGCCAGCAACACGCGGCATGAAGCCAGCTGTGACGGTTGCTCCCGCTGCTGTGACATTCGGTTTGCTGCTGGCCGCTTTGTACTCCACCACGGTGGTGGTGCCGCTGGGTCCCTTGTGCACCGTTGTGGTGCTATAGACGGCGGGTGGTGACTGCGATTCGATGGCATCGCTGTGCGACAGCTCCTCGATTATGTCGTTCACTAGGCAAATGTTGTAAGGCTCGGCGGTGGCAGCTGCTGTAGCACCACCACCTCCGCCTCCCCCGCCGCCTCCTCCAACTCCTGCTGTGGTTGTTGTTGTCGCTGTTGCCGTTGTCGTGGGCGACGTTTTCAGCGCCACGGCAGCAACACTGCGTTTCACGGCCGTTGTTGCTGCTGCAGTTGTTGTTGTTGTTGCCGGTGTGGTCCCAATACCTTTGATCAGATTGCTCTCATTCAGCCAGGACAACGGACGCAGCTCATCATCATCGGCCGCCGCACCGGCCGCGCCCATAGCATCCGCCGCACTCAGCTCCATCGGCTCCGTGGCCAGCACCACAATATTGCCGGCAGCGGCTGCTGCTGCTGCCGCTGAGGCGTTGCCCGCCTGCGTGGCATTCTCGTAGGCGGTAAAGCTGCCGCCATTGTGACGCAGCAGCAGGTACTTTGAGTTAGAATTCATGTGGGTGTGGGTGTGGGCGTGGGCGTGGCCGTGCGTGTGACTGTGGGCGTGTCCGTGTCCAAGGCCCAGTCCCAATCCAAGTCCCAGTCCGTGCCCGTGTCCGTTTGTTGGCGGCGCTGCGGCCGCTGTGCCTGCCACGCTGTGGTATCCGTGTGCAGCAGCTGCTGCTGCTGCCACCACGGCGCTTGTTGCTGCCGCCGTCTGTAGTTGGCCTCGCAAGTGGCTCAAATCGTGCGTCGTTAGCAGCTGTGTGGGATTATCTGTTGACATGCTGACGGAGAGAAGAGATCCGAAAAGGACTTGATTAGATTTCATGTTAAGTTAAATCCAAAAACTAAATCCAATAAATAACTGTAGTTCCCTTATCACTATATACATACTATATATAAAATATAATGGGTATATATCATATATATTTATCATACATCACTTATAACATCCTCATCCTTTATATACAGATTTCATTATATAGATCTGAAAAATACCTAATTAAATTCTAAAATTATTTATATAGTTTTCGTCCAACAGTACTACTAATTTTTTTAGCCCTGGTGTCCTTTTAAACTCAAGATCAACATGTATTATCTATTATCATTAATAACAATATATGTTTATCTTAATATTAGTTTTAAGCATATTCAGTTTATCACCAATTTTTTTTTTTTTTTTTTTTTCAGTCATTTCTGCTTTGTCGCATTCTATTTCTCTGTCGCACCTATCTACATATTTATATGTATGTGTATATCGATATACACACACATGTACATATATATAGCAATCAACATGTTCGCCCAGATCTGCATTAGCCAAACGTGAATGCATTTAAACAACAATTTAAAGCCCAAAACTTTAACTGCTAATCAAGTGTTATTTTCCAATTAACGCTGGTGTATCAAATCAGTTAATTAAAAAGGTGCATGCTTTAGTTCTCTGCTTCTTCTTCGTCATCTTCATCAATTTTTTTTTTTATTATTTCATCGGCGTCCTTCAGTTTGTTTTTATTGCATACCTCAAAGGGCAATCTTTGCCCACTGTGCTCCGCCAATAATAAGTAATATTACCGCAAGTATCACACACACACATGCTTGCTCCCTCTCTCTCTCACACACACACACACTCACACATACACGCCCGATTTGCGGTGCCTCTCTCCTTTGCTTGCTTTGAACAGTGGCCACATTTTTAAGTTAAATGCTAAACGCTTTACGCAATCATCACCAGCCGCCCGGGCCGCCATTTAGCGTTTGTATTTGTGCGTGCGACTGTGTGTGTGTGTGTGCATGTGTGTAGTTTGTTTCTATTTGTGCGTTGCTTTTTGCATTATTTTTATTTTCCAACAGCACTTTTTTATTGCTTCTAATTTACGCGTGTAGTTTTCGCCGTTTTTATGGCTTGATGAGTGGCTGCGACGTCGGCAGCGCAGCTTGCGTTCACCTGCTACTTGAAATTGTATTTGTTTTATTTCATTTTATTTTCGTGTTTCGGTCTTTTTTTTTTTCAACTATTTTGTTGCGCGCGTCGCTTTGTGCTCGTGTGCGTCTTGTTGTTGTTGTTATTTGTTATTCTCCTCTCTCTCTCTGGATGTCTGCTTGTGTTTACTGTTGAATTATCTTATCAGCATTTCGCATTCAACCTATAGCCATAACAGTAATTTCTGTTGTTCCAACTGCGAGCGAGTGAGCGAGGCAATATCAAAGGATATTGAATTAATGACTAATTCATAATTTTGGTATTTCAATAAAATGCGGTACAGTTAAGCGCACACTCAAGCGTATCTATGTACATATGTATATATGCATTCGCAACGCTTGGAGCAGATTAATTAAATAACTAACAGCACATGTATGTATGTATGTATGTTCATTGCGATGCCCATAAGGGACAGCACTGTAAGTGTATTATTTATTGATTTTTATTGGTCACCAACAACAATTTACTGTGACAACAACAACAAAAGAATTTAAAAACGAGCGCGCCACAACAAAGACGGCGAGTCAAAACAAACGATACGCGAAACGGACAGCAATGCAAAAGCAAAAGCAAAAGCTCAACAGCAACAACAAAACCAACGACGATGATGACGACAACAACAGTTTAAGCGCCATACACAACAGTCGCTCTTTACAGTCGCATGCCAAAATAATGGACGCACATAGCAGAGCAGCTCTTCACAGCTGTTGTTCTTGTTATTGTTGTTGTAATTCGTGCTGCTGGAAGGCTGTGCGCTGCGAAAACACAAACAAACTAGAAAATAAAGCTTGCGACGCAATTTTGAAAGTTTCCGTCCGTTGTCTTGGCAACTTTTTATAAACAAAATACAGCAACAACGCTAATTTGCACAGTAGCGTCGCGCGAGAGAGCAACGCTACGTCGCGACGCCGATGTCAGCGTTTGGGTAAACGACAACGTGGTTTTGGTTACGCTGGCTCTCCCTCTAGCAATGTTTGAGTGTGTGTTTGTGTGTTTACCTAATTAGCTAAAAGAAGAGACACATACATATACACACTAACATTATACGCTTGTTATAATATTGCAATTTGTACACAAACACGCACATACATATATACATATACATATACATACATACATACATACATGCACCCATATTGCAAGCTCAAACTGAGCCGCAGCTGTGACGTGTGCCAAAAACATAAAGAAACGGCAGCTCTTTGTTAGTCACTCTTTCACTCGCTCTCTCAGGCTCTCTGTTTATCTGCTTTTATATTGTGTTTTTGTTTATTTTACAAGCGCTAGCCAAACGGCGCAGTTTTTCAAGCTCAGCTCGTTCAAATACAAGAGAATGCGTATGAAAGAGCGTCGCAATGAAATGAACGAAGAGCGGCGTCATTTTGAGCCGTTGTAGAAGTAGCTTTTGCGCTTTGCTGCCGACGCCGGAGCCGCGCGTCAGTTGTCAGCTTTTCGTTCTAGAAACGTCAACTGCTGCTGCTGCTGCTGCTGCTGCTGCCGCGCTGCCTGCCGGCTGTTCGCTTTCTGTTGTGACCTATGGACCTTTCTATGCTGCTTTTATTGCAGCTGCTGCGTCGTTGTTAGTGTTGCTATTATTATATTGTTCTTCTTATTATTATTATTGTTAATGGGAAGAAGCAGCAGCACCACCACCATAAAAGTGTAAAATACGATTGGTTAAACTGTACCTGCTGCTGCTGCTTATAAAACGCGCTTTATAGTTGTGCAGATGATTCATACACATAAATATGTATGTATGTACATATGTATGTACATACATGTATATGTAGCAATACTTGTATGTATTTATAAACAAGAACTTTAACCGCAAGCTAATCACAGAAAGGCAACAAACACTATTAAGTACCGTTGTTTGCTTTAAGGGATAAGCGTAAATGAACTGCTTCCTCTTTAAATACTTCACACTAAATCCGAAAAGCGAAAAAATAAAAATAAAATGAAAAAACGTGGGACAACCAGCCGAAGGAGTGGGAATGATGGCCGTCGTCGGCTACGGGCTTATAACAATGACAAGCACATATTAATGGATAATAATAATAATAACAAAAGAGGAAGATGCAGAAGAGGGAGACATGAGATGAGAAACAGTAGGACGTGAGAACAGGCGCAACACTTTGCTGCTTTGTTGTGGCGTCCGTTTATCTATTGCCATTTCGATCGCTCTCTATATAAATAATAACAAATAGCAAAACAGTTCACATAATCAATTCAAAGAGAGCGAGATGAAGAGCACGCTAGGCACAGAGCTTTGCATATTTCCGGCAGCGCCGCTAACGACGCCGCCAACAACAAAAATAACATTTTCAACAACAACAGCTGGCCAAGCATTTTTTGAGAGCTTTTAATGGCGTCCAACGACATGCGCTCTCGCTCTCCCGCTCCCAAACTGTTGTACTGTACTTGTTTACGTGTGCGTGAGGTTGATTATGAGTGTGTGCGTACGTCTTGGTGAAATATAAACAAAAATGATCGAAATTAAATTAAATAAAAGAGGACAAATAATAGGATATGATTAACTTCAAGAAAATTAAACAGATTGTTAAAATAAATACATATGTTGTTAATAATAATATTAAAAAGTTATATTTTTTGTTTGTTCTTTTTTTGTATATACACTTTTAATAAGGTATTTATCTAGTCTAATTGTGTTTACTTTTAACTCACACACACATACACACGTTTACATGTAGTTTAGAATTTTCTCGAGCTTTAGCTAAAGTAGACAACAAACAATGAAAAATTGTCGGCGACCACGCGGCGTATACGTAACCCCCCATGCAAACAGCTCGCTTTATATGTGCCTTTGTATATGTGTGTGTGTGTTGTGAGTATATGCACACACATTCATGCATAGACATCCGCCTATGTATGCGTGACTGTGTGATGCCTTCAAGTTGGGTCGCACAATTGTATATTACGTATACGCTACATATGCAGGCACGCAGCCATAAGAAATAAGAATCAAAAATATATAATCACACACACACACACACACATAGAATCGCTTACAACTGATAAACTAATGTCAGATATATAATATAAATAATAAAAAAAAAATCCGCAAAAAATTAAGAAAGCTAAAAAGGTAACAAAATACAAAAATTTACAAAAAATCTAAAAGTGAATAAATAAATAAGTAGTCAAAGAGAGACAGCGACACGACAAGGCCGCTTTGAATGTGTTGTTGTTCTCTTAGATGACTGTGCTGTAAGTATGTGTGTGTGCGAGAGATAGAGAGAGTATTATTGTTTTCATCAGTTCTTGCTAAACAAACATGCAGATTTTAGTAGAATTATTTTACTCGCCCAAAATGATTACTCATATTTGTTCTCTTACATGAATTAATCTTGTATTTTTTACTATAAATTCATATACAAAGTCCAAAAAATAACTGAAACGCTCTGGTGCTCAGCTCACTGCGCTCTTTCATTCAGTGCGAGCTTTCACTCTCCCACATACGCACACAGTGACAGCGAAGGTGGCAGCACTACTCGCTCTATACTTCCCTCCCACTCTCCCTTCCACACACACAGACGCTGACTTTTCAACGTGGTTTTTATTATTTTTCTATGTATTTTTATACTTTGCGTTGCCTTTTGTGAAATTCGTATATTTCGAACATGCGGATTATGAAATGAGACACAGATTAGAAAAAAGAAAAAAAAAAATTACGGGTTAAACCGACAACAGAAAATCGCTTTTTTTTTATTATTGTTTTTCGTATCCATGACTCTCACTTTAAGCGCTCTCTTTTACACTCTCTCTTAAGCGCACGTTCCGTTCCTGTGGCCACTGATACACGAGCACACACGTCACAGACACACATACATATACATCTGCACGTGTATATGTGTGGCAACTTTTGTTGTTGTAAATGATCCACATACCTTTGCACTAGAAGAACTCAAAATGTTTTCTAAGCATTTGGCACACACAACAATATATTGAACTATACGTTGATTTATTTACTTAGAAATTATATTTGAAAATTTGTATATTCGCCTTTTATTTCGAGGCCTCGCACAATTTGAACTGTAAAGCACGCGAGCAGACAAACGAATGAAGCGAAACGGCGGCAGCGCTAGCAAATGAAATGCCGAAACGAGCCCCACACATACACACACCCATAGAGAGAGCGACACAAACATACACTTCACGCTCACGAGCGCCAAACGTAATAAAGACACGTAAGTTTGCAATGAGGGAGAGAGCCGGCATGCAACACACAAAGTCTAAAGCGCGTCGTAAACAACAACAAGAAAGCTAGATTTGATAGCCAGAGAGTGTGTATGAGTATGAGAGAGCGCAATAACAGATAGACGCCGCCGCTGTTTGTGCTCTGTGCATATATGTATGTATGTGTGTGTAGGAGCGTTGGCGCATGACATTGCCATTTATTGAAAGCTGAGCAGCAGCAGCAACAACAACAAGAAAACAAACGTCGCGACGTCAGCGTCAGCGGCAACGTCGACCTTATTGACGAGTTTTACAAACTATTTTCGTTGCGCTTTAGTCAAAGGATCAGACCAACAAAAGCACAACAAACAGCTGTTTGGGTAAGGCCCTAGCATGACTCAATTGAAAGAGACAGAGATACAGAAAGAGAGAGAGAGGTCGAAAGAGACAAAGTAGTTCATGCGTGCGTGAATGACAGAATCTTTAATACTCTCTACTCCATATTATTATTATTATTGTTGATTAAAATTGCTTAAATATACATATAAATATAATTACGTATATACATGTAGATATGCTGCGCCTTAGCAAAATGAACTCAAATTTATTGAATTCATTTTTTAAAATAATGAACTTACTTAATGGTGCTAAGACGCTGGCGTCAACACGTGCGCTGCCAACGCATCAAAGCAGCGGCCGTAGCAGGAAATACAAGAAGCCAAAAGCTAAAGCAACAAAATCAAATCTTAAAAAGCTAACAGTATATAACAACAACGCAAACAGTGATGGTAGTAAAGCAGCGGCAAAAGCTCAGACAAATGCAGCGCAAGCATTTATACTTGCGGTTGTTGTTGTTGTTGTGTTTGTGTTTAGCATATTTAATTTTAGCCAGGCGGAAAGGAAAACTGAAGAACGGCATTGTCTTCTCTGCTGCTTTTTCCTCTTTATACTCTCTTTGTTAAAAATAAATTATATATTTATTTTATTCACGCACAAAACAGAAACAAAAACAAACAGCAAACGAAAGCCACAGATGGAGTGAGTGTCATATGCAAAGAGCGCAAGAGGATGGAAGAGAATGAGTGAGCGCGAGAGCAAGAGAGAGCGCGCTCGTTCGTCTAACTGAGAGCGAAATTAATTTTTGCCGGCTTTTTTGGGCCGCTGCGCATAGGAGGGAGGAAAAAGTGCAATCGCAGCAGCAATAGCAACAGCAGCGGTAGCGGCAGCAGCATCAACAGCAGCAACAGCAGCCGCTACGAAAAACTAAAAAAAGCGCATCAAACAAAATCGTCAACTAAAAATAAGCACATCTTTGTTGTTATCGTTTTTGTTGCTGTTATTGCTTTGGTTTCTGTTTTTGTTTTTGATTTTGCTTTTGCTTTGGCATTTAGTGAGAGCACGCGCTTGGCGTTGCGTTGGTTGAATTCATAGGCGCATTTGTATTCGTTCGTGTCACTGACAGCTCTGTTGCCAAGCACCGAAGTGGGAGGAGAGGAGAAGAGGACGGCAGTGCGCTGCGACACCACTCCCCCTCCCACCGACACAGCGTCCCTTGCCTTATTGTTGCTTTTTACACTATCCTTTGAGTGACAGTTCTTGGGCAATTTTCAATTTCAATTGATTTCGACGTTCAAAAAATAAAACCTTTACGTGTGTGTGTATGTATGTATGCTTGTGTTTGTGTATTTACGCTCGTGTGTTTTTTTTTTTTTTAGCCAAGCAATTTGCTGGCACAACAACAAATTGGGTCAACCACAATTAATATAACTAAATATAGCTAAAACAAAAATTCATCTGCAGCACCTACAACAAGAACAGCAATCGCGACCGCAACAGCAACAAATAATGCTGATAACAGTACATAAGGAAGTAGAAGCGCAAAAGCTTTTACCGTTAAAGTGACGACAAATCATAACCGTGAGAGAACATAATGCTGGTGCAGGTGACAAAAATGTCGAAGGATTTTTAAATTGTTTTAAATAATGCACAAATTTATTCTCTTTTTTTTTCTTGAATATAAATTATTATGCAATAAGTATGTACTGTTAAAAACTAAACTAAAGATAGTTTTTTTATACATAGCATATATAAAAAATAAATAAATTGTTTAATTTTTTCTTTGCTTGGTTGGCAACAAGATTGAAAAACCTTCAACACATTTTTTTTTTTTTTTTTTTTTTTCAAAG